ATTTCGCCCTCCGCCGCCACAATGGAGACGACCGAGAAGGTCATCGTCACACTACAGCCGAAAGGACAAGTTGGTGGTGGTCGCCAGCAAGGTTAACATGACAAAATGCAACACCTACCACCACAAAACAAAAGAAGGGGGAGGACACTTTGGCGGCAGCCAGTCACCCAGTACCTCCTCCTCCAAAGCGTATGAAGACGCGGTTGCGTGTCATGCAATCACCGCTGCCCTGCAGCTCGGTCCGCAGCATCAGTCCGTGTCCACCATCACCGCTGGCCATCAAGTATCGTTCAAAGTCGACCTCAACGGGGACTACACCTTCACGAAGCCTCAGTCGCAGTCGCCGACACTTGTCCATTCGTGGATGCCGGCTCCCTCGCCCTTCGATGTCGGGTCTCTGTTTGCCGGAATGTTTCAACTGAGCGAGATGGTGGATGACGAAGAGGCACTGATGAACATGATCCATGACATTGCAGGCCACGAAGACGATCAAGTGGAGGACTCCCAGCCGGAGGCAGAGACACAACAACGCCCAGATGTCGGACACCACGTAGACCTAGCCGACGTACACCCAACAGTCGAGCGGTGATCCAGACAACATTTGGGCGTCGGGTGCGGGTCCAAAGAAGAAGAGGGGAGAATTTTTTAACTTGAAGGATGATGAATTGTTGGTTGATGCGTGATTGGGCACAAGAATTGATCCAACTCATGGCACGGAAGTAAAAGGGGGTGGAACATTTTGGACAAGTGTGTATGCTTGATTTCATGAGCAAAAGCACTATGGTCCCTATCACACAGAAGTGATCCATGAGGGTAGCTCGAAATCGCTCACTAATCGATGATACACCATTCAAGAGGCCACAAGCAAGGCTTTTTTTAAAGAAGGATGACCCCCGGCCTCTGCATCAATCGATGCATGCAACCATATTATTAAATAAAAATGTAACAAAGTCTTAAGGTTCAAAGAGGCTCATAAACCGAGCATTAGTCGAAAGAAAATAAAACTGAAAAGTGTCACATCCGGCGACATAGAACTGAAAAGTGCCTCATCCGGCGATAAAAAACAAGCTACGATGCCTACACACCTAGCCTATTATTAGCTGGTCACCCAAATCGGCTGAAGATAGCCCGTGCTTGTTGGGGAACGTAGTAATTTCAAAAAAATTCCATGACTATCGCTACCGCTTAGTGATAAAGTAAAGCATTACAGCGCGATTGCATTGCATACAATAAAGCGACAACCATATGACTCTTGCCAGTTGCCGATAACTCGGTTACAAAACATGATCATCTCATACAATAAAATTTAGTATCATGTCTTGACCATATCACATCACAACATGCCCTGCAAAAACAAGTTAGACGTCCTCTACTTTGTTGTTGCAAGTTTTACGTGGCTGCTACGGGCTTAGCAAGAACCCTTCTTACCTACGCATCAAAACCATAATGATAGTTTGTCAAGTTGGTGCTGTTTTAACCTTCGCAAGGACCGGGCGTAGCCACACTCGGTTCAACTATAGTTGGAGAAACTGACACCCGCCAGTCACCTGTGTGCAAAGCACGTTGGTAGAACCAGTCTCGCGTAAACGTACGCGTAATGTCGGTCCGGGCCGCTTCATCCAACAATACCGCCGAACCAAAGTATGACATGCTGGTAAACAGTATGACTTATATCGTCCACAACTCACTTGTGTTCTACTCGTGCATAACATCAACGCATAAAACCTAGGCTCGCATGCCACTGTTGGGGAACGTAGTAATTTCAAAAAAATTCCTACGCACATGCAAGATCATGGTGATGCATAGCAACGAGAGGGGAAAGTGTTGTCTAGGGACCCTCGTAGACCGTTCGCGGAAGCGTTATATCAACACGGTTGACGTAGTCGTACGTCTTCACGTCCGACCGATCCAAGTACCGAAAGCACGGCACCTCCGAGTTCTGCACACGTTC